GGATGAAAAAGTCACTAGTCCTTGGAGGTATCTTGTCATGGGTTTCTCTGACTCTGTCTCTGTCTCTCTTCCTGCTTCCTGTCCACCAAGAAGCAAACAGCTCTCCTCTATCATGCATTGCTGCCGCAATGGTCTGTCCAAATGCACAGGACTTACATCACAATGGACCATACCCCTCTGAAATTGTAAACAAAATACATATATCCATCTTTGTTTCCTGAGGTATTTTGGTCGCATGATGAAAAAATAATTGTTGCCCACTGCTTTATAGCCACATCCTTCGTCTCTTCTTCTTTTACTGGTAACCATTTAGTGCTTTCCACCTCTGTAAGTATCCAATGAATGTTATCAGGTAGTATAATCCTTATAAGGTTGGCTTTCCCCACAAAGCATAATGCCTTGGGCTTAATCCAAGTTGTTGAGAATGTCAATTGTTTTTTTTCTTTCCCTTTTTTTTTTTTGGGGGGGGGGGCTGGTCATGGGGCCTGAACTCTGAGCCTGGGCACTGTCCCTCAGCTCTTCAGCTCAAGGCTAGTGCTCTACCACTTGAGCCACAGCGCCACTTCCGGCTTTTTTCTTTTTGCTTATGTGGTGCTGAGGAATCGAACCCAGGGCCTCATGCATGCAAGGCAAGCACTCTACCACTGAGCCACCTTCCCAGCCTGTCAATTGTTTTTACTACTGAATAACACACTATAGCATGCACATATCATTATATAATCTTTCACCTGTTGAGGCACATTTAGTTTCCAGTTTGGGAGTATTACAAACTTGCTGCAAACAGTTACAAGCAAGTTCCTGTGTGGGACTAAAATTCATTTCCCTGGGATAAATGGCTAAGAGAGTAATTGCTAGGTTAAATTCCTACCAGCAATGTTCATGTAATCCAGCTTCTCGGCATCTTCACTAATAATTGGTGTTTTTCAATGTTAGTTTGAGTTTCTTACATATTCTAGATAACATGGCTATTATTTTTAATCAGTGGCTATAACATGTCATTTGAGGGGAAATGATGTAATGAAGAGACTCTATCTCAGTGAACCACATTAATACCCCTCCCTCTTTAGAAAAACTGTCTAAATCAATTTCAAGCCAGCTGCCTGCAGAAAAACACTTTGTAGGGGACCAGATCTAACCCAGGGCAAAAACATCTATTTGCCATTAATCTATTTCACACTATTCAAGTGTGTGTGTGTTTGTGTGTGTGTGTTTGTGTGTGTGTGTGTACCCACACTGAATATATATATACACTGAATATATATATATATATAGTAATGACTTATCTTTCAACTATTCTGAATGGATTGTTCTTTCAGCCTTTTCAATATGACTTACAATAGACTCAAATACATTACTGTAAGAAACTTTAAAAGCCACATAGGGTTAATCACAAAATTTCATTGAAGGACTCTTGGTAATGTTTCAATTACAGCAGGAGATTGGACTTATTGCTAAGAAAGCACTGACATATTAAACTGACAAGGCATGTCTGGAAACTCCTTCAGCAATAGTAGGCATGAACTGATGGTGTTATGGACTGGTAAAAATCCTTCTTCCTCAGTGGGGACTCATTTCTTCTTTTCAACTGTTTTAACCAGCCCTCTAGTGTGAATCTTAGTAACTAAAGCCAAATCAAACTGACACACAAAACAAACTTTCACAAGCCTTTTTCATATCTGCATTATGTATAATTTTTATTTGTAAGATTATTTGTGTTTTTTAAGTTTTGACCACTCTTGACCAAGATTTTTCTAGTTTAGTAGGCTTTCAAAGAACCAACTACCAGCTTTTTTTGTTTACTTTCTAGCCTACCAGCTTTTGCCCCTTATGATGTCACAGATTAGGAAGAAGTTGAATCAATCACTAAGGACCACCTTCTACTACTCTAGCCCAAAGCCACACTTCACATTCTAGGTTATTTTTGTCCTTTATCACCATGGAGCATAAACTTATACTACACGTTGATGTAAGACTAATTATAGTTATTAATAGAAATATATCTAATCATATAGAAACCTTCCCAATTGCCAATGTTTGTGCTAGAAATTTTTGTGCTTAAAGCTAGTGTTGGGGCTGAGAGTATGCCTTAGTGGTAGAGTGTTTACCTAGCTAGCATACATGAAGACCTGGGTTCAATTCCTCAGTACCACATAAGCAGAAAAAGTCAGAAGTGGTGCTGTGGCTCAAGTGGTAGAGTGCTAGCCTTGAGCAAAAGAAACTCTGGAACAGTGTCCATGCCTTGAGTTCAAGCTCCAGGACTGGCAAAAAAAAAAAAAAAAGTGCTGTACCACTTGAACTACAGCTCCACTTCTGGCTTTTTGGTGGTTGACTGTAACTAAGGGTCTGATGAACTTTCCTACCTGGGCTGGCTTTGAACCACACTCCCCATATCTTGGCCTCCTAAGTAGCTATGATTACAGGTGTGAACAACCAGCACCTCACTGAATTTACTTTTAGCATACCTTGAACTCAAGAGAAAGGCTGAGTATAGCTCAATGACAAAGCATACCTACCATGTGCAATGTCTTGGGTTCAATCCACAGCACTGCAAACAGAAATAAAAAACAAAAAACAAACCTCAGCAAGCAGCTATCTTTTAAGCTTCTAACTTTATAAAGTGGAGAATTTTCTATTGTACTTCTCACTATGTGGGCCCTGGGCTTTGTCTGCTGTTTAGTTTTCAACTTTAATTGGACTGCCCTCCTAATTCTTTGCCTTTGCCTGGACAATATGAAGATCATGCTTTGTACCAGTCTGGTAACTGACTATTCTCAATGATAACTGTTACTCATTTTCATCATTATCTACTTTGTCAGCACCTCAGGAGGCTCATACATCTTCTAGGGGGTGGTGGCATATATTCAGGTATGATGGAGAAATTCAGCTACTGCTGCTGAGAACAGACACAGGGTAGAACCATGTCAGGGTATTAACTAAAAATTTTTTTACTGTACTTGGTCAAAACCATATGTGATAAACCTCCAAATAAGGTCATCTTACTGTATAAAGCTATGAAATAAGCTCCAATGAGAAGTTTCTTTTGCTTTTGGAGAATGAAATTAAGTACCTATCAACTTTCTATGGTATGCAGTAAGCCCAGAGCAGCCTGTATTACTGATATCATGGTAATAGTTAGTATATTAATTTATTCCCATACACTTTCCTAGTAAGTTCTACTTTTCTGAAAAACAACAAAAAACAAAAACAAAAAAACCCAAAAAACCCTTGGGGGGTATATTATCCTATACAGCAAAGAAAGATGTTTCTTGGTTTCAAATTTCTGGTTGATAATTTAATCCAAATCTATATAAAAACTTACTTCAAGCTGGGCGCCGGTGGCTCACACCTATAATCCTAGCTTAGCTACTCAGGAGGCTGAGATCTGAAGATCGTGGTTCAAAGCCAGCCCAGGCAGGAAAGTCCATGAGACTCATATCTCCAATAAAACACTAGAAAACTGGAAGTGGTGCTGTGGCTCAAGAGGTAGAGTGCTCGCCTTGAGCTGAAGAGTGCAGGGACAGCACCCAAGCCCAGAGTTCAAGCCTCGCGACTGACAAAAACAAAACAAAACAAAAAACCTTACTTCAAAGAAAGTTAAAGACTTTTGGTGTAAAAAGCATATTGAGTGAGACACTGGTAGCTCAAATCCGTAGTTCTAGCTACTCCAGAGGCAGAGACCTGAAGATCTCAGTTCAAGGCTGGTCAAGGCAGACAAATCTGAGAGTCTTACTGACAATTAACCAAAGAGTACAAGAAGTGGTAGAGAGCCAGCCTTGAGGAGAAACGCTAAACCTAAGCACAAGTCCTTGAGTTCAGATCCCAGCATAGACACACACAAAATGATTGAGGAAATAAAACACATGCTTACAAACATGCTTTTCAAAATAGTCTAAACAAGAATGATAAAACAAGCAATAGCCTAAGAAGAGCTATCATTTACAAAACATTACTATCAGGAATTCTATGATCTTACTTATTTTACAGATGAGTGGACAGAAGTCAGAATGTGCCTTTGGTTATCCAGCTGCAAGGAAGTGAGTCAATCTTCAAGCTGGTACATGCTGGCTTCAGAATCTGTGCAGCCAATCACTGTGCTATAATATTTCCCAGTACTAGATACTAACTTAAAAAAAATCAGAAATGTGGGGGGGGGGGGGGTGTTGGAGAGGGTGGGTGGGAGATGGGAAGGGGAAACAAAGGAGGAGGCAAGAATACTTGGTAAGAAATGTACTCATTACCTTGCTCATGTAATGGTAACCCCTCTGTATGGTATTTTCACAATAAAAAAATAAATTTGAAAATAAAAAATTTTTTAAAAATCAGAAATGTATTTTTTTTGCCAGTCCTGGAGCTTGACCTCAGGGCCTGGGCACTGTCCCTATGATTCTTTTGCTCAAGGATAGTACTCTTGAGCCACTTTAACATAAGAGCTACAGCGCCACTTCTGGTTTTGTTTTTTCTCCTGTTTATGTGGTACTGAGGAATCGAACCTAGAGCTTCATGCGTACTAGGCAAGCACTCTGCCACTAAGCCACATTCCCAGTCCCAGAAATGAATTCTTGCTTAATTACCAAAGATAAGGAATATTCTTCGGTTCCTGTAGGTCTAAATTTTCAACCTATTTCGTTCCTTTCAATATATTTGCTGTCTTTGATTTTGAGTCATCTGGTTTTATTTTACTACCCCAGTACCATGTGCTACCCTTAGACTGTTCCTTTTATATTAATGTCCATTTAAAATAGACAAGATGCATAAAACGATTCCTTATTGGTTCAAAGTAAAAAAGGAGAGAAACACCTCTTACCAAGCCTTTATAGTCCTGCAGATGCTGAAAGCCAGGGTATCCCGCAGGAGCACAGGAAGTCCTCCACCGTGACACTCTCCAATGCCTTCTTTACTGTAGGACGATGTGAATTATACTGGTAAACCTAAAACATATTGTACAGCAACAATTCCATGTCACAGAAATACCATGTTCAAGAAATACCAATCAAGCCAAGTTTGGAAACAAAGAGGTTTTATTTATCTAAACAAAACCCAAGAGATACAGATACTATAAAACAACTCCCAAACCATACACGACAAAAATGTCTTATCTACAAGAGTATTTACATGTTTAGGTCCATACCATAAGACACGGTTGCAAAGGTATAGAACGGACAGTCCACGGTAGCACACTCGGAAGAGAACACTGTGGCACTTTCTAGTTGGTGACATGAATATGGTGAGGAAGTCCCTAGAAGGTTCTACCTGTTCAGGGGTGTTCATATCTTGATTTTGAAGGTTAAAAAAAAAAAAATCAAACTCAATTCCTGGTGAATAATGGCCTCTATTCAGTAACTGCAATGCTTCTACTGTATTATGGGTAAAATAATTTGTAATTTTCAAAGACAAGAGTTTCACACTTTCACTTCTATCACCAATATAATGACTACTTTATCCATTATTGTCTTGTTTCAGTGGTGATAGAGATCACTCCTAGCATCTCATGCATGCTAGGGAAGTGTTCTACCAGAGCTATACACTTCATCTTACCACAATATCTTAAAAAGGCAAACAGCTGTCTTTTAACACTTGATAAACAAGTATGTAATAATGCATTTCCTAAACATTAAAAGAAAGACCAGATTCATCAAAGATGAGCCCACAATCTATTACCACTAAGGCTACTCTCCCCCTTTACTCCTGTTTAAATGCAAAAGCTGACAGTTTCTGATTAGTGGAAACATCTAAACGTTTCTGCTTTTTAGGCATGTTCAGATTCTCCTTTGCTGCTTCTTCATGGCTTTCTGTTTCATGACTTTCATCAACCACATGTTTTCGCTTCTTTGCTTCAACCCCATCTATCGCAGTCTCTCCCTTGGCTTTGTTAGTCCATGCCTTTGAAAAATATTGGGAGAAAAAAGAAAAGACTTTTATTTCAATAACAGAGAAACAAAATAGAATTTACTTTTATTTTTCTGGTAACTTTCTTATATATAAAAATAGAATTAAGGCTTGTACATGTTAAGCAATTCTTAAACTATCATCTAACAAAGAGCTGATAACCAAAATCTTTAAAGAACTTTGAAAATGCAGTATTAAAACACCAAAAAACTTCATTTAAAAATGGATAGTAGATTCTGAATAGAATCTAAAAGAACTCTATGAAAGAAAACAAATATCCAATGAGCACTCAAGAATAATTCTTAATATTTCTTATCATCAGATGAATGGAAATCAAAACTATTATAAGATTATCACTTTACCCTACTAAGAACAGCTATTATCAAAAAGACTTAGGGTTGAGCGAGGTAAGCCAAGAACGAAGAGACAAACGGTACATGGTCTCCCTCATAAGTGGATGCTAAATCCAAAAGGTTAGTGATACGACAAAACTAACAGGACTTAAGAAACAAAGAACTCCCGCTCATCTGGTTGAACCACTACTAAATATCCTCATGCTGCTGATCACAAATATGGTATATAACATGTGAACACTGTTATATATTACAGACTGTGGTAGACAATTTGCTCCAGGGAAGTTAGAATGAACTTGTGACTTTGAAATTATGTAATCATTTAATCACAATCAAAAAAAAAAAAAAAAAAAAGAACCTCGGGGAAGGGAGGGAGGGAGGGGATGGTAGGGGGAAAACAATGGAGGGGGTAACAATGTTCAAGAGGAAGTGTACTCATAACCTCACTCATGTAACTGTGACCCTCTGTATAGTAGCTTTACAATAAAAAAAAAAAAAAAAAAAAAAAAAAAAAAGACTTAGGGAATGAGAACAGTAAAGCCTGGAGCCACTGGCTCATGCCTGTAAACCTAGCTACTCTGGAGGCCAAGATCTGGAGAATGGATGGTCAAAAACAGCATAGGCAGAAAAGTACTCAAGATTCATGTCTATAAGACTCCATCTCCAATTAACCAACAAAAAGCCAGGCTGGAAACATGGCTCAAATGGTAGAAGACCAGTCAAAAAGGAACCTATTTGTAGGCACACGATAGAAATGTAAATTATCACAACCATGACTGAAAATGGTATGGGGGTTTCTCAAAAACAAAAACAAATCAAAACTAGAAATACTCTATGATCTTGCAATTCTACTCCTGGATATTTCCAAAGGAAATAAAAACCAGCAGGTTGAAGAGACACCTACACTCCCAGGTTCACTAAAGCATTATTCACAATAGCCAAGAAATGGAAATAACCAATGTGTTCATAAGTTGATGAACAGAGAAAATATAGTCCATATATATGACAGAATACTACTCAGTCACAAAAAAGGAATAAATCCTTGTCATCTGCAGCTATATGAAATTATCTAGGCATAGAAAAACCAAGTATTACAGAACTTCTCACCCACGTGTAAAATATGAAGAGTTGGTCAGGTTGGTAATATAGCTCAGTGACAATAGTGCTTGCCTAGTACGCAAAAGAGCTTGGTTTAACGCCCATCCCACAAAAGTGAATGAATGAATGAATGAATTTTGATCCCAGGAAAGTTGGAAGTGGAATGGTGGCTACCAGAGGCTGGGGAAGAGCAGAGATGGAGAAGTGTGGTAAAAGGCTGATCAGTAGGTACCAAGTTACCATTATTAGATGGAAACAAGAAGTTCTGAGGTATTATTGTATACTGCAGTTACTATAAATATGATATATTATATGAGTATACTATATATAAGGTAACTATAAATAATGTACTATATATTTCAAAAAGCTAGGATTTTAAAAGATTTCATCATAAAGAAATAATACATTTGAAGAAATATTTTAAATCTTATCTAAGTACTTAAAACTGTGTACATAAATGGGAACATGATGCTTCATTAACATGTACTATTTCTTTTGTTTTTACTGTATCAATTAAAAAATAAACTTACAAATTCTTAAAACAATATTTTACAAAACCTATCTTATTTTATTTTAGCACCCCTTCAAAATCTACATTTGAGAGGCTGGAGGCCATTCTAGCTATAGTACCTGCCTAGAATGTGTGAGACCCTGAATTCAATACCTAGTACCTCAAGGGAAAAGGATTAAATTCTATTTCTATAATATTCCAATCTAAAAATCTGCTTGTATTTAACCACATTAAATGCAAAATATAACTGCAGAACTTTTTGAGATAACTAAATTTGCATGCAGTAGCAAAACCTTGAGGGCTGGGAAGGTGGCTCAGTGGTAGAGTGCTTGCCTTGCATGTATGAGGCCCTGGGTTCAATTCCTCAGCACCACATAAGCAGAAAAAGCCAGAAGTGGTGCTGTAGCTCAAGTGGTAGAGCGCTAGCCTTGTGCTGAAGAGCTGAGGGACAGTGCCCAGGCCCAGAGTTCAGGCCCCACAACTGGCAAAAAAAAAAAAAAAAAAAAGATCTTAAGCAGCCTTTACCCAGTTTTTCCAAGTGTTTTTCCAACATCTTGTTGATGTTTAATACAATTATACCATTATACCAAAGTACTGATACTGATATAAGCCTCAGTTACTTTTACTCACTTGTATATATAATTTTTATTATATATTTGTGTCTATAACACCACAGTCAAGACAGAGACAATTTGATTATCACAAAGAACCCTAATATGGTCAACCCACCAAACCTCTAACTCAGTACCAGCCCACCACTGCTCTTTTTGAGGCAGGATAGACATACAAGGAGATAGGGTAATTTAAATAGCCAGCTCCCTGTTGATCAATTTTTAGATGCTAATACACAAGAATAAGGAGACATAAAAGGGCTATCTGTGATTAAAAACCCACATGTTGCCAGGAGTTGTAGCTCACACCTATAATCCTAGCTACTCAGAAGGCTGAGATTGGAGGATTATGGTTCAAAGCCAGCCTGGGCAGGAAAGTCCATGAGACTCTTATCTCCAATAAACCACTAGAAAACCAGAAGTAGAGCTATGGCTCAAGTGGTAGAGTGCTTGCCCTGAGCTAAAGACCTGAGGGACAGTGCCCAGGCCCAGAGTTCAAACCCCATGACTGACAAAAACAAACAAACAAAAAACCCACATGTCCAAGAAAGAAAAGTTCTAAGAGACACTAGTTGTACTTATGTTTTGGCTAGGCCTAGATTACATCTCCATGTTTCAGAATAATAAACAGCTCTCACCAAAGCCATTAGGAATTGCTGGAGGACATGACCACATGTATTCCTTCAGACAGAACCACCGTTTTGATTCCTTATTCTTCCTTCCTGGGAAGCAAGAAACCCGTCCCCTTTTTTCTTTCTCCCCTCACCTCACTCTCTCTCTCTCCCTCCTCCCCCTTCTTTCCTCCTTCCCTCTCTCCCTTTCTTCCTTCCTTCCCTTCCTCTTTTCCATCCCTCCCTCTCTCCCTTCCATTTACATCTTACTTTATCCTGTTACATATTAAAGTAAATCCTTGCTAAAATTTCTACTTTGTAAGAATCTCCTTTCTGTGAGACACCTCAAAATGTTTTTCACATGTGGATCTCAAGGAAATTCATAGAAAAGCAAAAGTCCTGTCCCAATTTCCATATGAAAGGATGGACCAGAGTACAAGGGTTTCCCCCAAAAAAGAATATTTTCATGTGTAAGGAATATTCAATTGTGCATGTAGATAGCATTTTAAAACATTTTTACTTGGCACCCACTTGTAAATAAAACATCTTTTCCTGGAGGTATTTTCCTAACTACAAGAGTGTGTGTGTGTGTGTGTGTGTGTGTGTGTCTGTGTGTGTGTCTGTGTAGTTAGCTGCCAAAACAAAGTTAACCATCAATGCTCAATATAATTTCTACAAATCTACAAGCTCAAATCTGACATTTCACATTTCATTTCCTCTCCACCAAGAGTTTTTACAATGTATTCGATTTTCCAAAAATAGAAAAAAAGGCATTTCTAAGAATGTTTTAAGCCTGAGAAATTCACAAAGATCTCAATCTCAACGTAATTATATCTTTACCTTCCTTTCTTCAGTTGACAATGCTCTAAATCGAATCATTCCTTCTTTGATTATGTCTGCTTCCTCTGAAAAGTCAGGATTATCAGACAAAATATTGCTTCTGTTTTCTTCCAGCCACATCTGAAACCCAGTCTTTGGCCTAAAATAGTATATGAAAAAATTTCATATTTACTACGAGTTTAAAGTATTATATGACTTTTCAAATTAGTAATTAACATTAGTCTTTGTATACCAATATAAAATAAGGGAGACACACTTATATTTGTTACTATTCATATTATTTTAAGCTGCTTGAAGACAGACAACAGGATGAGAGAAGTATAGAATGCTTTACAAAATCAATTCAAAAGGATCATTTGATATTTTATTCTGTAAGTGCAGCAACCTTGAACTTTCCCTTTCAGCTCTTGTGAAAAAGGCTCAAGGCCTCCAACTTCACTTATCCCTTCAGGAATGGTAAAATTCCTCCATTTCCCAGATCAGCTATTTAAAATCTTGCTGATTTCTCTCAAGTCATTTATTATGCCCAAACCCTTGCTCTGACAGTTGACTGGGGTTCTTCCCTGTGCTATCATTATGTACCGCAGTGATACAGCAAATTTGTAAATTTTACTAGTTTCTACTTTCAACACAAATTCACGTTAGGTCCTAAGCAAAAGTTCAATGCAGATATTTAAGCTTCTTAGCAGGAATTCTGCCAGGAATTTTTATAACTGCTTTGTGTGTATATCATAATCAACCCTATGATTTGGTAATAATTTGTACCTTCAATCTACAGACAGAAGAAAGCTCAGAGAGATAATTTAGGTGACACATACAATCAAACCTTACACTCAACAATCAGGTGGTTTGACACCAGAGATTTGACATTTAGCTGTTCAGCTAGGTTATCTCCTACTATGCTAATGCTAAAAGGATCCTAAGTGGTGAGTTTAAATACATGACAAAGATAACAGAAAAAAATGCTCATAATTAAAGTTTTAAATCCAAATAAAAACATGGGATACAAAATTGTATCTCTAATTCAAACTACATTAAGTATTAAAAAAATCACTAAAAAGAAGTAGAAGAAAAGAATTGGGCTGGAGGTGTGGCTCAAATACTACAGTGCCTGTTTAGCAAACATAAGGCTCTGAGTTCAAACCCCAGCACAATCAAAGCAAAGCCAAGCAAAGCAAAACAAAACACACACACACAAAGGAAGAAAGGGAGGAAGGAAGAAAGGAATGAAGGAAGGAAGGAGGGAAGGAAGGAAGGAAGCAAGGAAGGAAGGAAGGAAAGAAGCAAGGAAGGAAGGAAGGAAGGAAGGAAGACAGAAAGAACAAATTAATCCCTGAAAATGAGTAAAACTGACTTATTTTTATCTAAACTTTCAAATTTTTACAATACCAAGTTACTAAAAAATACCAGCAAGCAAAGCCTGGTAGTGAGCACATCTGTAATCCCAACACTCAGGAGGCAGAGGCAGGAGGCTTGAGGGTTCAGACAAGCCTAGGTTGCATAGTTGAGAGCCATCTCAAAGAACAGACCCAAACAAACACAAAACACTAATAGTATGACTAGAACTAGTTGCTCAGTTTCTGAAAATATATGAATTTCAAATAATCAAATAAATCCTATCTCCAGGAAAATAAAATAAAAATGATGCTAAAATCAATGTTAAAGGTTTTTGTGAAGCTGGACAGATAGGAAATTTGAAAAAAGCCAGTCAAGAACTGAGACTAAAAAGAAATCGCTAAAAGATTTAAATGTTTTATATATGAATAAAATGCTACCCTCCTATATTTAAAGTTGCTCTAGGTAAGTAATTTTTGCTTCCCTTTCTTTGCCTGACCTTCTAAAATCCAGGAAAGTCACACCAAAATGATTAAAATGCTCACAGTCACATAATCTTTCTTCTAGAGCATCAAAAGGTAAACTAATCCTTTTTAGAAAGTACAGGCAACTATCACAGCCTTCCTTTAGATGAGTAATTTGGTATGAGAGTAACACTAAAACCTTTTAGAGCCACTCAAACACACTGTCTCTAAGAATGGGTGAAAGGTTACCAGGTAACTGAAATTCTGTCAGAACTGACCTTTGGTTTTCAACATTTTGAGGACACAACACTGGGGCTTCAGATGAGGCATTTTTAGGGTTTTCTTCCTTCACTTCCTCAGTCTTATCGACCTGACAAGGTCTTTTCTGGAAAAAAGATGCTGCAGATGCCTACAAGAACAATCATAAGCATTTAATCTAGAAAGGTTGGTATATGCTTCAAGCAAATTCTGAAATATAGAAAGAAGCATTTATAATTATTTACAATTCTCATACTAATTACCAAAGTCTTTTGAGTTTTCAGCTGAAAATAAACATGTACATACACAAAACCAAAAATAACAACCATATTTCCAATTCCATGATTTTGAAATGAAGTTACATAAAACAGAAAAAATAAATAATAGATTGATTCAACTAATGATATAAACCTAGGGGCTGGGAAGTTGGCTCAGTGGTAGAGTGCTTGCCTCGCATGCATGAGGCCCTGGATTCGATTCCTCAGCACCACATAAGCAGAAAAAAGCCGGAAGTGGCGCTGTGGCTCAAGTGGTAAAGCGCTAGCCTTGAGCTGAAGAGCTGAGGGACAGTGCCCAGGCCCAGAGTTCAGCCCCCACGACCGGATCCAAAAAAAAAAAAAAAAAAAATGATAGAAACCTAGGATGAAATGCACTTAAGAATGGGCAAATTCAGAATACATGGGGAAAGATTAGGGGAATATACTTAATAAATACATCTGGGAGATTTATAAGATTACAGAAAAATGGTAGAATCAGCTGAGGTGCCAAACAAGATGATCAGATAAAGATGTGAGTTATATTATCTTCACCATGGAATATTACACAGCCATAAAGGAAAATGAAACCATGTCATTCGCAGGAAAATGGATGGAATTGGAGAGTATTTAAGAAAGATAAACCAAGCTGAAAAAGCCGAATATTTTATGTATTTGCTCACGTGTGGAGTTAGACATAAAAGCCATAGATATTCGTGGACATGGCACACACACACACACACACACACACACACACACACATATATATATATATAAATGTGTATATATATATATATATATATACATGAAACATGATTCTAGTTATGAGACTATTTAGGAAGATGATGGGAGAGGAAAAAGAGATGGAGGGTGAATTATGCACAAAGTTAGCATAAGGAATCGCAATGAAAGCTGCTGACCATTAGAAGAGTAGCGAGCCAGAGTGAACAAGCAGTAGATGATTGTTCTGAGCAAGGTTTAGTTATGCTCATCTGAAGCAGCACGGTAAAGCCTCTCGGTGCAATCAATATACACTATTCAAAAAAGTAAAAACAATGATGGGAAAGTACAGGCTCTGCTGAGGGGAACAGGTACTAGTGGGATGGGACAAGGCTAATGATGGTAAATAAGGCTAATATGGTAGAAGTAGTTTGCATGTATGAAAAAAGAACAATGAAACTTGTTACAATTAAGCCAGGCACCAGTGGCTGACGCCTGTAATCCTAGCTACAGGAAGCTGAGATTATGGTTCGAAGCCAGACTGGGCAAGAAAGTCTGTGAGATTCTTATCTCTATTAACCACCAGAAAACTGGAAGTGGCTCTGTGGCTCAAAGTGGTAGAGCCCTAGCCTTGACCAAAAAAAGTTCAGGGGCAGTGCCTAGGCCCTGAGTTCGAGTCCCACAACTGAAAAAAAAAATATTTTAAGGAGAGAGTGGCCAGGCACCGGTGACTCACACCTATAAACTCAGGAGGCTGAGATCTGAAGATTGCGGTTCAAAGCCAGCCCAGGCAGGAAACTCTGGGAGACTCTTATCTCCAATTAACCACCAGAAAACTGGAAATGGCGCTGTGGCTCAGGTGGTAGAGTGTTCGCTTTGAGCTGAAGAGCTCAGGGACAGCACAGCACCCAGGCCCGGAGTTCAAGCCCCAGGACCGGCAAAAAAAAAAAAAAGAAGAGAGAGTGGATAGGAGAGAGTGATAGGTGTGATAACTGAGATACATTACAAGCGTGTGTGCAAACAGTACAACTGACCCTTCCTTGAACAATAACATATTCTAATAATTATTTATGTGCACAGAAAGATAGGTACTTGACTCCTCAGGGATAGGAAATATGCATGTTTTACAATTCTGAAGTTATCCACAGTTGCTCACACCTGTAATCATAGCTACTTGGAAACTATGACCGGGAAGATAATGGTTCAAGGCCAGCCCACAATTGAGGTGACACTCATTTCAACCAATAAAAACTAGGCACAGGGACACAAGTGCATGCAGCAAGTATACACAGGAAGATTTCAGTCTAGACCAGCTTGGGCAAAAAAGTATCTACAGAGGGCAGCTGAACTCATAGATACATGCCTATGATCCTAGCAATAACAGGAAACCTAAAGTAGACAGAACATGACTCAGGTATAGGGCTGAGTAGGAAGCAAGGCTCAGCAGTAATACACCAGCCTAAAAAGTACAAGGAGGCCCTACATTCAAATCCCAGTATCATTATTTAAGATGAAAAGGACTGGGTATGTGCCTTAAGTGGCAGAACACTGGCTCAGCAAGCAGTGACTTGAGTTCAAACCTCAGTACTGCTCAAAATAACGGAGAGGGATAGATTCTGGAGCCAACTGGTTACTGAATCTACTTCCACGGCTAAACAACCAATGATACACTTCCCACCTTGTACCTGAAACACTGAGCAAAACAAACAGGATGCATGCTGTTTACTATAGATGTAGATAATTGAACAGTACCTGCTTAGACTTTGGCTTTGGAATCAGAGGCTTTATAACTGGAGACTTTTCGTTATTTGTTGCTCGATTAAATGCAGTGGATTTTTTAGATGATTTGTTCATAGTATCTAAAATGTTAGTTGACCGTGTTGAATTCACTGACATAGCTGGTTCTTTGGAACTGGCTGATACCTAAATAGGAAACTAATATTAGCATTTAATGTTTAGAGAAGAAAGCAAAATTTCCAAGAAATTTATTTCTTTTAATTTCTGTAATGTTTGTTTTACAGAAATGAATACATGAGGTATATTCCAAATTAAGATTCATTTGGTATTTTCCAATCCCACATCCCAAAAAACCAGAGAGAGTTTTTCAAAACCATCAGTATGCAGAAAGTAAGAGATCCCCTTGATCTCAGCATCCTGATTGGCTTGGATTACAGGAGTAAGCCCCTCCTCCCCCATACCTAGTTTCAGAATCCTTTCTTAAATTCCTGGCCCAAATGTGAACTGAGGATGCTTTTTCTTTCTTTTCACAATGATCAGTCTTTAATGGCTCTGAGACAAAGAAGGATTACTTGGAAATGTTCCATTGCATGGACATGTTTTTAAATAATAGGAAATACCACTGACACTTCTAGCTTCCAAGGGGCTAGGAGACACTGGGAAAATGTGGCTGTCTGTTATTGCTATAATCTCTCATAGACTCTGTTGTCTGGACCTTGGTCCCAAGTCCCACACCCACCTGTTACAGAACCTGCTTACCAGACTGGCATGACATGAATACATCATGTCACCATGGGTGCGAGTGAAGGAAATAAAGGTCTATACCAAGAAACTCACTGACTATGAAAAACTGGAAAACACCAATGAACAAGTCATGAAATCTTCACACTCAAGAAGGACTTGATCTCAAAGCTCTTTTAACAACTTTGGTGAGGTTGGTATCTGAATACCAAGGGCGACACAGACTGCTACAGATGCCAAATTGGAGTGAGCAGAATTGGGCCAAGATGGCAGTGATTGAATATAAAGGAAACAGCCTCCACTCCTGCCTTGCAAAGACAGCAACCTTGCCCAGCTACTGCTGCTGAAGCTGTGACAAGACCACCACCAAAACCAGGAAGCTAGTTTCCACAGCTCCCACACAGCTAAACACCCCAATGCCCACAAGCACAACCCTTCGAAGCTCCTTTTAATGTCTCATACAGTTTTAATGGAGCCCAGAACCTTCTGAGAATCTAGATGCATTTCAGTTTGAACAACAGATAAAAGGGAAGAAGAGAAGGAAGGAAGGAAGGAAGGAAGGAAGGAAGGAAGGAAGGAAGGAAGGAAGGAAGGAAGAAAGGAAGAAAGGAAGGAAGAAAGGAAGGAAGGAAGGAAGGAAGGAAGGAAGGGAAGGAGGGAATTTAAAAAAATACCACTGGAAAAAGTTTACCTTGAATGGGTTTATTCGTCCTTGGTTGCTAGAGGTAACGGCACCTTTCACAAGAAAGAAACCCTCACTTAATATTATTAAAATATAGATGAATTCTGACTTCTACAATGCTAAATGAAATACTTTAATCTGCATTATATGATAATACAGGTATTCTGCAACTTTAAAACTACTAACAGCTATAGATGACCTCTTTCCTACCTCCATGATGAAATGATGTTAGGTGGAACTGTCCCAACTCTCTACAACAGAACACCCAAAATAGACCAACTTGTCTTTCTACTCTGTTATTATGAACAGTGGGGCCTTATTTTTGTTGTTGTTAGTTGTGGGGCTTGAACTCAGGGCCTGAGTGCTGTTTCTGAGCTTTTTTGCTCAAGGTTAGTGCTCTACCACTTTGCATTGTTTTGAGCCACAGAGTCACTTTCAGTTTGCAGTTGGTTAATTGGAGATAAGAGTCTCAGGGGGCTGGGAAGGTGGCTCAGTGGTAGAGTGCTTGCCTTGCAAGCCAGAGGCCCTGGGTTCGATTCCTCAGCACCACATAAGCAAAAAGAAAGAAGCCGGAAGTGGTGCTGTGGCTTGAGCGGTAGAGTGCTAGTCTTGAGCTAAAGAGCTGAGGGACAGCGCCCAGGCCCAGAGTTGAAGCCCCACGACCAGACCCCCCCCAAAAAAAGAGTCTCAGGACCTTTTGACCTTTCCTTCCTCAGCATGCTTCAAACAATGATCCTCAGATCTCAGCCTCCTGAGTAGGTAGAAACATAGTCACCAGCTACCAGCACCTGGCTAGTGAGATGTTAAGCTAAGGTTTATAATCCCTGTATTTTAAATCCATTCAACCATTCTAAGTAAACTTAAAAGTACATTGTATCCATGTTTAAAACTATGAACAAAATGAAAAACATTATTCAATATTAGGTAACTTCCAGAATATTAACTAAATGAGGTACAAGAGAAAAAAGAAAAACAAAAAAACCTCAACCTACTGATGCTTCCTTCTGCATGGTTGACTTTTTCATCATATTAGCTCAAGTCTCCCAACTTTAAAGCACAAACAAAAAACTGGCATAGTGGTTCATGCCTATAATTCCAGCAACATAGGACGTAGGAATTAGGAGGATTGTAGTTCCAACTGACATCGGACAAAAAGCAAGACTAAGCTAATAAGCTCAATTTGGTTGTGCATGCCTGCCATCCCAACTATGAAGGAGTTACAACTAGGAAGATTGTGGTCCATGCCAGACTGGGAATATGAGACCCTATTTAAGAAGTAACAGCAAAAAAAAAAAAAAAAAAAAAAGACTGACGACATGGCTCAAGTGATTGAGCACCTACCTATCCTTAGTTCTAACCTCAATACTGCCAAAAATAAAAATTAAAAAACCAAGACAAACAAAAAATAAACCTTCTAGTCCATATTCCTTTCAGCAACCATTTTCTCTCACATTCTCTATCCAGCCACATTAAAAACAAACAAAAAACAACCTGTTAATACTTTCTCTCATTTCTTCTCTGCTCATACATCCCTCCATGCAATAATATAACTTCACATCCTGTACCTTGCAGAACCTCATCTTGCTAAGGCCTCCAATTCTGTGATCAAATCATCATCTTATTTGGCTTCTCAATGGCACTCCATTCCACTTTTTCCTCCCTTGACTTTTGAGACTTCTTTTCCCATACTTAAACCCCTTTCTCTCTAGACCAGTGGCCTCCATCTCTTTCAGTGGTTCTTTCTCTTCTATCTGATGCTTAAATGTTAAGGATGCCCTATCAAGTGTAAATTCACTCAGGCCAGAGTAGTGCTTGCTCTACTTCTGCCAATTACTCCAACTTTGTGTTTCTAAGGCAGACTTACTTGCTTTAGTGTCTGATCCAAATAAACATTTGATCTACATGACACCTTACGTATCTCATAATTCATCATTATCTAAATTCATCATCTATCTAAATTTGTTTTTCCCAAGTGAACGGCACCACCATTCACTGAAGTACTTAAGAAACAGAGTCATCCTTCACACTCTGAACTCTTACACTCTACATTAGCAACACCTCTACCACTCTACCCATTCTTTCTATTATTATACCCCCAGTCCCACAGCTCCTCCAGCATCCCGAATGTTTTCTCAGTAAAACTCAGATCTATTGTCAACATACATCCTTCCAGCTGAGAAGAACATCAAGGCAGGAATCAACCATACATGTCTGTTTGAGTTCTGTATTGCCCGCTTAGTGAAGTCCCTGACATATAACACGCATTTAATAAATGTGTGTTATTGAGTTTTACAAAAACAATCTGATAAAAACAACAAAATGAAAAACAACAACGAACAGGCACTGAAGGGAAGGTATATTTGAGTAGAAGTATCACTTTAAAAACTAATTGCTGGGCTCGATGTAGCTCAGTACCAATGCACTTGCCTAGCAAGTGAAATGTCCTGGGTTTGATCTCCAGTACCAAAAAACAAAAGACAAAAAAATAAATACTGTTAAGAAATTAAAAACTAGGGCTGGGAAGGTGGCTCAGTGGTAGAGCGCTTGCCTTGCATGCCTGAGGCCCTAGGTTCGATTCCTTAGCCCCACTTAAGCAAAAAAAAAGAAAAAAGCCAGAAGTGGTGCTGTGGCTCAAGTAGTAGAGCGCTAGCCTTGAGCTGAAGAGCTGAGGGACAGCGCCCAGGCCCAGAGTTCAGGTCCCACGACTGGACCCCCCAAAAATAAAAAAGAAATTAAAAACTACTTGCTAAATTTTCTTGACATTACAATTTTACAAATATTTCTTACCTGACTTAATAGCTGGTACATCAAATGTATCTGTACTTCCAGAGTTCTGTCCTATAATTAAGATAAACAATATGACGTGAGGAAAATAAAGTCATCCTTGATATTCAACGGACAGCAAAAGATGTCATGGAGAAGTAAGGGACTTGGTGTTTCCCTCACCGAGCAAAATGGGAAAATTCATATTCATGACATTTCTCATCTTTTACGGCCTTAACAATGTACATATCTCATTCTTTTACCCATTTCTTCTTGGCTCCACTCTCCTCTCTTGCAAGTACCCATTCCTTAGTACTTATTTTGTTGTTTGACTTAGTCTTTTTAAAGAATTATACCATTTGTGCTCTCTATAGAGTCTATGACAGTTCAGTTAATTCATCTGTAACCCCTTGCTTACCACCCAGTGTGTTTACTTTGTAGATACATAGGCAGGTTCAAGCTACCTCAAATGAGGGCAACCATGCAAGAGGCAAGGGGCGAGAATTCATTTGTATATCATAGAATTAAGAAATATATATAAGTGAAGGGAGGGGTAGGTCAAAGTGGGGGTAAAGATATAGGAGTGGTGACATGTAGATCAAGATGCATTGTACACATAAATTGCTTTGTTAAATGGTCAAAAATCAATATATAACCTAAAATTAAGATAAATAAGGGAAGAGGTAGGATGGGAGGGGTGGAAGGGAGAAAATGTTGAAAGGGTGACATTAACAAGGATGCACAATATTCATAAACTGCGTAGTGAATGGCAACTCCTTTGTACAACTAGTTACAAATAAAAATATTCAAATGTATCTCACAGGGGGCTGAGATCTGAGGATCATGGTTGGAAGCGAGCTTGGGCAGGAAAGTTCATGAAACTCTTATCTCCAATTATCCACCAAAAAGCTGGAATTGGAGCTGTGGTTCAAGTGGCAGAGTGCCAGTCTTGAGCATCAGTGCTCAGGAAAGCACTCATGCACTGAGTTTAAGCCCCAGGACCAGCGCTCACACACACACACACACACACACACACACACACACACACACAAAATGTATCTCACACATGTATCTCACCATGCTCATGGAGTTCTGGTGTTTTCTGTGTATCATCAGTCTCTTTTCTGCTCTCAGTATCTTCTTCAGTTTGGTTTCTGAGCCGTGGCTGGTCCCACTCTGTAGCAGCATTACTGTAACTAAAAGACAATAATAAAGAGCTATGCAAAGACAAATGTAGTATTTAGATTGTAAAAGAAAATTCAAACAACTCTATTTTTTACCCAGCGCTCAGCTTCTTTCTGAAATCTTCTTCCTCCACCTCCTCCTCCTCTGCTTGGGTTGCTGCTAGTTCAGCTGCCTTTTCTACAGCTAGTTCACTAAGTTTTTGGGCCAATATTAATTTCCGAGAGCGAGAAGCATATTTAACAGCTAAATTCACAGCATGTTGAGTCATTAATTCAGCAAGTTCCACACAACGAAATTCTCTCTCCAGTTTACAAGAAAGCTAATCCCAAAAGAAAAAAACAAACAAACAACAAAACACCATATTAGGTCTAAAACTTTTTTTTTTTTGTTGGTTATAGGGCTTGAACTCTGCCTGGGTACTGTCCCTGAGCTTTCTGATCAAGCCTAGCACTCTACCACTTTGAGCTACAGTGTCACTTCCAGATTTATGGTAGTTAACTGGAGATAAGAGTCTCATAGACTTTCCTGCCTGGGCTGCTTTGAACTGCAATCCTCAGGCCTAAGCCGGAGTAGCTAGGATTATAGGCATGAGTCACCAGCACCTGGCTAAGTAAAAAACTTCTTAAAAAAAAAAAAAGATTTGCAAGACAAAAGAATATGGAAATCCACAAAAACCTTCTTAAATATTGATACTACTAGTAAAATGGGGAGAACAGTGTTTTAGATACTGATTATACATTTATACTGATTATAAGATGTACATTTTACACATTTTAGTATCTATGAAATTTGAAGGCATCTTACAACTCATGGTAGGTCGGTTTGCTAAGCAATCTTTTTATCTCAGTGGCTTAAATAAATAATGATGCATTTACAATTAACGGTAACTTAGATTCAATCAAATAAAACAATTTCAAGATGAAGGAAACTAAGCAGTTTTAAAATTTAAACAAAATTATCTTTGCTTCCTAGTTGCCATTCATCCAGTAGGAAAGAAAAATGCACAAAGGAAGAAAATTGAGTAAATAAATTAAGTAAATTAAATATTACTTTGTTCAGAATTGGCACACAAATGCTACTAAAGAAATTTGAGTGGGAGAAGTAAATATATCCTTCCATTTTAAAGTATAGTATCATCTATAATCTTAAGTTATCACAAATAGTTATACAACTTCCAAATTACAATTTGGTTTTCTTGCAGAATGCTTTTCAATAAAGGGCATTTCCTTTTGGTATGTCTTACAAAATACTGATTTCCTTTTTGGTTTGAATTCTGGCAACTCAACACAGGAAACTCAAGTTCAAATAGAGGAATGTTGATACTAAGGGTGTGAGAATTCTGTGCAGAAGTATTTTGTTACTTAGATGTACCACACTGACCTATCAGTATGGAAGTTCTACATATTTTCTAGGGTGTACTCAAGATTTCCTTTAACATTGCGAATATGGAATACTTTTCTTGGCAGTGCTAGGGTTTGACTCACTTGTGCTAGCTACAGGGGCACTTGACCAGTTATACTTCTAATCCTTTTTTTTTAGGTATTACTTATTTTTAATAGCCTTGCTTCCTACTTGGGGCATATATCTGTACCATGAGCTGCCTATTTACACTTCCCACAAAACTACAATGACATGCACACCACCCTGTCCAGCTACTAGTGAGCAGAGCCATGTCCAGCTACCAGCTGAGTGGTGGAGGTTTTCTCAAGAACTTTTCTTCCCAGGCCAGCCTCAAGTCACTATCTTCCTTATCTCAGACTCCCAAGTAGCTAGGAATACACATATGAGCCACCAGTGCCTACAGTACTTTTTAATCAGGGTAGTGCTTTTGCCTAAATGTGGGGAAGGATTTGGAAATGAAAGGGATTAGTGAATGGGCTAAACTAACTTTCTTTTTTTCTTTTTTTGTCAGTCGTCGTAGGGCTTACTCTGGGCCTGGGTGCTGTCCCTCAGCTCTTCAGCTCAAGGCTAGAGCTCTATAACTTGAGCCACAGAGCCACTTTCCAGCTTTTTCTGTGTATGTGGTACTGAAGAATAGAACCCAGGGCTTCATGCATGCTAGGCAAGCACTCTACCACTAGGCCACATTTCTAACTCTAAACTAACTTTCAAAGCTTGACAGACTAGAACAAGTCCAGAAGAAGAAAAAAATGGTATTACATTCCGTTTAAAAATTTTTTTTAATGTTTTTAATTGTGAAAATACCATACAGAGGGGTTACAATTATATGAGCATGGTAATGAGTACATTTCTTATCAAGCGTTGTTGCCTCCTCCTTTGTTTTATCCCTACCATCCCAACCCTCCCATCTCTACAACTACACTCCCTACCCCACCCCCTACATTCTTTTGATAAGCCAATTTAGAATAAGAATTCATAAACCTTTAAGATACACTCTTCCAAAGATGAATGAAGGAATCAAAGCTGGCCACAGGCCACAACAGACATTTATTATGCACAGGTGCCTAATTCAAAGAAGATGACAAAAGCCTGAGCTAAATTTAAAAACTGTCCAACTTTGGAAATCTAAACACACCCAAACCAAACTGGGGAGTATATGACCTATAGCCAAAACAGCCTCAGTCACTGGAGGGCCTGTTAAAACTCAAATTAGTGGGTAAAAAACAAGAGGGATGTAGCACCAGCTAAGTTTATTTCTACCTATAAATTCAGCTACAAAGAAATATTTCAAATATTTTAACTGCAACATCAAGAAGGAAACAGAACTTTTAAAAGATAATCAAGCTGGGCACTGGTGGCTCATGTCTGTAATCCTAGCTACTCAGGAGGCTGAGATCTGAGGATCTTGGTTCAAAGCCAGCCCAGGCAGGAAAAGCTGTGAAACTCTTATCTCCAATAAACCACCAGAAAACCAGAAGTGGTGCTGTGGTTCAAGTGGTAGAGCACTAGCCTTGAGTTGAAGAGCTGAGGGACATCACTCAGGCCCAGAGATCAAGCCCCAAGACCGACCAAAAATAAATAAATAAATAAATAAATAAATATGAATCATTGGATAAAACCTAAGAATCCTAGGTATAAGATATTACTAATTCATATATTTTTAAGAAACTCAACCTAGGATGGGGGAGGGGGGTTGGCTCAAGTGGTAGGGTACTTGAGTAATAGGCCAAGTTCAAGCCCCAGTACCATGAAAAAAAAATTTCAACCTCTAAAAAGGCATATTTTTTTCAAGGTGTTTTACTCACCGCAAGCATTTTCATTAAAAGTTCCTGTTGTTCTCTTATTGCTTGATTTTTAATGCTCTCTTCATATTCATATCCATTTTTAGCTAAGTAATCAAGATGATTGTGGAATATAACTGAACGCCAAAATTGTTCCTACAAAAGTAGATAAAATTAGAAATAAACATTACCATCAGCAAAGTGTTGGGCATTTCCCTTTAGATATCAGTTTTGAGTAAGTATTTTCTGAAATCCTCCTTTCTATACATTTATTTTTATAATTCAAATTCCAGTGTGCTTTTACAGCTTTATCTTCAATCCTTAAAAAATTTGTGTGTGTATAAACATAATGTTTTAAGTTTCCTAGCTATCACAACTAATGCTCAGACAATTTGGTAAACTAGTTTTATAGAATATGATTTCCTCCTGATTTAGAATAACTGCAAGATTGCAAATGATATGATTAACAAAGGGTGCCGGCTAGGGGTGAGGTAAGCCAGGCATTTATAGCACAATATGTATGAAGGACTTGCTGGACCAGAAGAATGTCCTTATCATAGTATGTCCTTCAGTCATAACCATTTACTTTGTAACAAAACCCCCTAGAAATTGTGACGGCAACCAAGTGGCCTGGTGACTGCAAGCAGTCCTCCTCTTTTCATCTAACCATAAATGAACGGTCATCACAATAAGTTGAAAATGTCTATGGTACATTGTCATCCAAATTCAGATATCAAGCCAAGATTTCTACATACCTCCATTTGTCCTTTTTCTGTTGCAATCTGACAGTATGGAAGTTTAAATGATAATATGGCGACAGCAGGGCGTGGAAGGGTAGGAGGAAATCGAGACCCTTTACAAGGAATGCACCTGTCAGTTAAAAAAAAAAATCCCACCATAAATACTTGCTAAAACGTCACAAAAATTGTTCAAATAAAAACACCTCAATAGTTAATATTCCTATGGCTGGGAATGTGGCTTAGTGGTAGAGTGCTTGCCTAGCATGCATGAAGCCCTGGGTTCAATTCCTCAGCACCACAGAAACAGAAAAAGCTGAAAGTCGTGCTTTGGCTCAAGTGGTAGAGTGCTAGCCTTGAGCAAAAGAAGCTCAGGGACAGTGCCAGGGCCTAGAGTTCAAGCCCCAGGACTGGCCAAAAAAAAAAAAGGTTAATACTCCTAAACAATAATATTCTAATGTCTGGCTTAACAATATATAATAAAGCTCTCTTTGAACAACAAAAAAAGTAAATTAAACCATCCAAGGCTAGTCCAGGAAAAAAGTTCACAAGACTTCCCTCTTAACCAATAGCTGGATGTCGTATCTATTATCCTAGCTATAGCAACATGGAAAGCTAAGATCAGGAAGATCACAGGTTCCAGGCCAACCCAGACAAAAAGTTCGCAAAACTCCATCTCACCATTAGAAACTGGGAATAATGGTGCACCTCTTGTCTCAGCTAGGATAAGTGTAAAATAGGTGGACAGCATTCTAGGTGCAAGTCTGGGCAAAAATCAAGACCTATGTCAAAAAACTAAGGGCTGAGAACCTGGCTCAGTGGTAGAATGCCTGCCTAACAAGCGTGAGGCTCTGAGTTCAAATCCTAGTACACGAGTATATATATACACACAGTATACTAGATTGACAAGATAAAGACTGTTGTCACCCCGTACATATCAAGAAGTTCAAAAATTCCTTTCTCTCACATTAGCTTTATTAGTAATCACTAAAAGTGGGGCCAAGCATGGCACTGGTGACTCACACCTAGCAAATCCTAGCTACCCAAGAGGCTGAGATATGAAGATTTTGAAGTTAGCCCAGAGAGAAAAGTCCATGAGGTGATTAACTCCAATTAACCAGAAAAGGGTTAGAAGTAGGTACAGCTTGCAGAGTGGCAATGTTGAGCCAAAAAGCCAAGAATGAAAAGCCCTGAGTTCAAGTTCCAGTAACAGCTGAAAAGTAAGTAAATAGATAAATATTAATGAAGTAAGACTAGCTCATGGCTATCTTAATATTTTCCTTAGTCAATACCCTGTTTTGGGGGAAAAGAGGGAGAGCCTCGAGCCCCAATAACTCACTTTAAAAAAATAATCTAAATTGCATCATAAAACACTTGCTATGGGAATTCATGTGATCAAGCCATTACTCCAAGATAATTTTTTTTTGGGGGGGGGGGGGGGAGGTTGGTCGTGGGGCTTGAACTCTGGGCCTGGGCGCTGTCCCTCAGCTCTTCAGCTCAAGGCTAGTGCTCTACCACTTGAGCCATAGTGCCATTTCTGATTTTCTGGTGGTTTTTATTGGAGATAAGAATCTCACGGACTTTCCTGTCTGGGCTGGCTTTGAATTGTGATCCTCAGATCTCAGCCTCCTGAGTAGCTAGGATTACAGGTGTGAGCCACTGGTGCCCAGCTCCAAGATAAAATTTTGATAGAGCACATTCATTTTCATTTGTTAATTTGGGAATATTTGGCACCAATAGTAAGTATAAAGTAAGAGAAAAAGACAAGAGAATAATGTCCAAATACAAGTATTTATTAGATATTGGTGACAGTGTAGTAGAAAGTTCAGTATCGTTAAGGTTTTAACCTAGGATTTGGAGGTGAGGCTCAGTTGACAGAGTACCAGCCAATGACCAAAAGCATCAGGTACTAAGTTTGAGTCCCATCTCAGACCAAAACAAAAAGAATGAAGAAAAAGAAAAGAAGGTTATAACCTATAATCTATACCAGCTATGCTAAATGAAAGGCTGCCTTGCGTGGAAGCAGTGAAGACCTTATTTAAATCTTTTCTGACTAAACTATGTAAGATATTAGATTTCATTAAAAAACACTCAACCACAGAATGATGTATAATACTCTTTCAACTCCTATACTTCAAAAGATTTCATACAAAAACTACTAGACTACAGTGACTACACACTGGAAGTACCACAGACAAATCTATTTTCACAAAGGAAGTTTAAAAACATAGCAATCTGGTCAGTGCTTACTTATAGTCATTCAGTTACTTTATATTGCAGGCTAATTTATAGTCAGGGCTTTAAGTCAAGCCATTTTTGAAGAAAAATACCAAGCAATTAGGCTGAGTTTAAACTTGTTTGCATAAACATGTCTTAGTATTATAAAATATTCACTAATTAAATAGTGAGAATATCCAAAAATATTGTTCATTCTTCCTCATGATATACCTTAACCTTCTTTTAGTGACAATAGTTTAATGAAAATACAAACATGTTTTTAAAGTTCTGTAAGGTCCCTCCTGGATGGCCAGCTGACTTCACCCTCCTAGCAGCAAAGTCTCCACCCAGTACCTGCGTTACCTAGGCAACTGAAACACCTGGAATAGCTCTTCTCAAGGTCTTTTCTCTCTCTTTCCTCTCTCTCTTTCCCAGCTCTCTCTCTTTCCTAGGCCTTTCCCAGCCGCGTGGAACCTTGCTTGGTCCCAGCAGGACTACTGAATAAACCCACCCCTTATCTGAGTACCACGTGCGTGGTGCAGTTCTTACTCGGCTACCTCTTTTTAAAAACCTAACAAGTTCCAATATTTTTTAATATACCATCTTTTTTTTCTTCCTCTTCTTTTAGATTTTCTTGAAGCCAGTGGTTTTCAGCATAGAGTATAAGGATGCAGGGTGTTCACCTTGAGTCTGAAAAGGCTTTTGTGGTGATTGCCATATAATCATATTCAGAACAACCACTGGCTCACTACTAAGACAACCGTGCTTTCTGACATAAAGACAAACACATGGAAATATATATAATCATAAAGTCAGACAGAATACTAATTTTTTCTACACATTCTATGAAATGATGTTGTTCAGTTAATAATGTTTTATGGCCTAAATATTTTATTCATTTAGACAAAACCAACAATAATCACACACACACATATACACACACATACACAATGTTGACTAGGATTAATATGATTAAGTTACTTGCTTTTTTCCTTTGTGTGTGTATGTGTGTCAGTTTTGGGGTTTGAGCTCAAGGCCTCCCCACATGGCTTGGATTTTGTGCTGAAGGCTGGTGCTTTACCATACTTCTACTACTAACTTTTTGACACAAAGACTTTTATGCCCCAGTTGGCTTCTGACCACAATCCTCTCAGATCTCAGCCTCCTGAGTACTTAGGATTACAGATGTGAGTCAACAGCACCCAGCTAACACCAAGACACATGTTCAGAGTACAAATGCACATTTCTTACATATTTTATTTTTATTACACATTCTTGCACATTTTATTTGCTGTAAAGACTTAAAGTTTTTTTCTCTGTTAAATATCCTTCTCATGAAGGATTACTTTAAAAAAATAAAAAGGACCACATTTTGACCACTAATTTGATGTTTTTCCTATTTTAAGTTTCCTAGAAACTACATTCCTTTTTTTTAAAAAAAAATACTTATTTTATTTATTTATGGTGCTGGGGATTGAACCCAGGACACTGAACAAGCACTCTAGCACTAAGCTAAATCTCCAGCCCTGGAAACTGCTTTCTTAGACCATTGGAAGGACATATAAGGAAATAAGTCACAGTTCATTAAGGAAACAAAATTACTTTCTTTTTCAGGTGATTCCAAAAATCTGTGATTATACTGAAAGAAGAGTTGAAAATTATCAGACTATAAGAAACTGGGTCCAATGTCCAGACTATCTTTCCCCAGTCAGCAAGTTCTGTTATGCCTTCTGTATCTGAGGTAACTTTTGTTCACACTTCTTTTAAGGCATATATTCAGGAATACCATAATAATTTCACAAACCTAGACATCTAGTGTTTTTATCTTTGTGAAATACAGCACCTGTAGGCAGTACTGTAACAAATCCTTGCCCCCCCCCTCCCACCCGCCACAAAACCAAACGAACAAAAAAGAGCAGACCAGGAAAGAGCAAATCAGCACTGAAAAATTAACTTCCAGTTAGGTATAAATCAGTAATCATGAAAACAATCTTTGAAGGAAACAAAGTTTTTAACTGAGCTGATGTTCAATTAATTCTACATGAATAATTTTTCTATTTACAATTAAAGGAAGATATTTTGAAATAACATTTTTTTGTGTGTGCTAGTCCTGAGGCTTGAACTCAGGCTGGTCCCTATCTTAGAGCTGTTTATTTTTGCTCAAGGCTAGTGCTCTACTACTTGAGCCATAACTCCACTTCCAGCTTTTGGGTGATTAGTTAGAAATAAAAGTCTCAAGGACTTTTCTACTGAGCTAACTTGGAACTATAACCTTCATAACCCAACCCTTAGAGTAGCTAAGATTACAGGCATAAGCTACCAGCACCTGGATACAAATGGCTTAAGTTTTTTTTATTTGCACTGTTATTATCAGGTGAGGTACAGAGGGGTTACAGTTACATAAGTCAAGTAATGGTTATATTTCTTTTTGGACAGTGTTACCCTACAAATGATTTCTTAAAATTATTTTCTGGGAGCTGGGCACCAGTGGGTCATGCCTGTAATTCTAGCTACTCAGGAGGCTGAGATCTGAGGATTGCAGTTCAAAGCCAGCCCGGGCAGGAAAGTCCATGAGACTCTTATCTCCAATAAACCACCAGAAAACTGAAGTGGCATTGTGGCTCAAGTGATAGAGCACTAGCCTTGAGCTGAAGAGCTGAGGGACAGCACCCAGGCCCAGAGTTCAAGCCCCATAACTGGAAAAAAAAAAATTCTGGGACAGGGTGAAGTTCAGTAGTAGAGTGCTTGTGTGGCATGCTCATGGCTGTTGGTTTGATATTCAGCACTAAAAAAGGAAAAAAACCTAACTAGTATACTCCCTTTTAAAGCAGTGTGGTTAGATGAGTAACTTGCAGTTTCAGAGAAGGATAAAGAGGCACAGAGAATCTAAGCAACAGAGCAAGAAGTTCAGTCAGG